TAGAAAAACACCAAAGAGATAATAACAAACCATAAAGGAACAAGGATGGTTAAGGATGGAGAAGATTAACACGGATTGTAAACGACGAACGTTTCAAGATGCGCAAACCGTGACGTAGCTCCTTTAAGTTAGATCAAACGTACAGTGCTTGTGCAATCTCTTCATCTTTGCCTTACATTTGTTGTTGTTGTTGTTTTTGTCGTTGTCGTTGTTATTGTTGCTGTTGTCGTCGTTATCGTTCTCAGTGGTTGTATATTTGGCAACATTGTGAAGTGACGTCAGTGCTTGCTTTCCATTCTGATCTAGATTTGGTAGTTCTTGGCTGCAATGTATCGGCAGAATCAATGCAGGCCGTTAGGAACGTTATCGAGCACATTCGTCCTAGACTTAACTTGTCAAGATACCTGCCAGTCAAAAACTTCTCACCGGTTGATATCAAGTCTTATTTGAAGAGAAACCCTGTCAGGTTCTGTGTGCTGGTGGTGGATGAAGTAACATTACGAAATGCTAACGAGTGTTCACCCGAACGTAAATTTGCGTTGGAGGAACTTATAAGAACTGCAGCAGATAACGTTGGTAAGAATGTAACTTGTGTGTTTGACGTCTATAATAGAGGTTTATGTCATTAAATAAATGTAGGTACTACTGGTTAAAGTTCACTGTCTTTAGCTATCATAGTGAAGTGACGAAAATGGAAAGTAATAACTTCATGTGAACTGCGTGGAATTACCACTTGTTTTTAGTTTAATTGAGTACTTAACACTCATTTAAATAAAATGCATTAATGTAGGCCATTTCCTTATCTTTGTTATCTGAAGTTTAATAACCGTCAGCTGGTAGCCCAGTCTTGACCCAGGGTAGCCTTGGGCGTTCAAATAGAAATGGGCTGACCGAATGACCACCATCTTGGATTTAACAACCCAATAATTATGATCCAAGCTCGAGGTAACAACCAGTCTATTGATTGAGTGTAGCTACAGCAGTTCCTACATGTAGAAAACAAATGGACGTCAAAAGAAGAAAGAAGCTTAGCTAATTAAGCATCCGTTCAGAAACCCAGACATATGGCACCAATATTGCAAAAATCGAAATTGTTCACTTCGTTAATTATAGAAAACTCTTAAAAGATGTAACTTTTGTACTTTTCAGTTGACAAGCTTATCTTTACGATTTCTTGCCCCTCTCACGTTCCATCAAGGGAAGAAGATATCTTTGCACACACTGTTGAAGGCATCCTCAAAGAAACGGGAAAGGGACTTACTGTGTGGTTGGAAGACGGAAAACTGAACGTGGAACCCGATGTCTTGATGCAGCTAATGCTTCAGACCTCAACAATGGAAGAGACAAAAGGAAGAGAGAGGTATCAAGGAGAATTCCCAACACCAGCCAATGTTGCGTCTGAAACAAGCCAATCCAAGCCGCGAGAACAGTTTGCAGGTCCTCCACGACAGGAACGTTACCATGAAACTCACCCCGGTGACTTGCCTGAAAGACAACTCGTCAAGCCACCACAGCTCCATTTACCAGCAACTCTAAACTATGGAGGACTACAGCTAGACGCCAATGAGGTCTTGATGCTTAAAACGCGAATCCGTTATGGCAAAATTTCTTTTGAACCGGGGGATGTCGAATTCACCTATCCTGGCTGGATAATTCCCCAGCATCTCGTGGAAAGCCTGAAGCGTGAGCAGTTTGCGACAGATGATGGCGAGCTATTTGTCATCTCTGACGAAAAAGGAAACTTCAAGTCCACAGCGCGAATTAACAGAATGCCGTTTATGGGAAAATGTTTACTCGTTTAACTTATATATTATGACTAACAGCTTTCGGCATATAATCATTACTTTTGTTACAGTTTAACTAGTTTAGTTTTTGGGCTCGTGAGAAAGAAGATTTCAAAAGTTTTCGTTCTTTGATTTAAGATTTGAGAATAAGGTCTTATTACAACTGTTGGTTTGATAACGTATTGACCTTGTTAAATAGGCGATTTAGGCAGTACAACTTTGTCTATGCGACCTTTGTGGCATGCGCATATTCGGTTTACCTTGTAAGGTTGTCCTCTTTTCCTGAAATTCCGGAAAAAAGCTGTTCCGTGATTGGTCGCTGGAAATCCCCGGAAATTTCTTCTGTTGAAGCTCGTTGAGTAACTAAATATA